CCCTACTCCTCTTCTCCCCTTTTCTCCCCTCCCCTCCTTTCTACTCTCCCTCCCCCTTCCCTCCCCCATGAGCTCCCAGGATTCCTAGCAATGCAGGTTAGTTTTTCCTGGCTTTGGACTTCATGCAGGTGGCTCTTGCACACTTGTGGGTTTTGTCTGCTGCTTTGCACTGGCAGTTCCTGTGCAGCTGACCCAGGCTCATTCTCACCCTCCCCCCAGGCTCCAGGCTGCAGGTCTTTCAAGGCCTGGGGGCCTCCCGTGCTGAGCTGAGGGAGGCTGGGAAAGGCAACCTGCTTCAGCCTTGTCTGTGTGGGGCCATCTTCACACCAGGCTCCCTGGGAACTGTACCTGAGTGTGCGTGCCCAGGAAGAACCACCCTAGAGCAGGGAGCCCTGTGGCCCAGGGGACTCCAGGCCCTGTGTGTCCTGTCACAGGGGAGGGGGAGAGGTGGTCCTGGGTGGTCAGAATGAGCTCTGTGTGATCACAGGAGTCAGAGGAGAACCCTGGCTGGCTCGGCTTCTAGAACCTTCTAGGAGCCCCACCCCATGAGTAGAGCATCCATGTGTCATGGAGGGGAAAAGGTCCAGATTGCTGGTCCCCAAGCTAATGGCCATAAACTAATGGCCATATTCTTCCCCCAGGAGGGGCCCTGTGACACCAGGTGCCCCAGACTTTTTCTGTGGAGGGTGGCACCAGGCTCTGCCTCTGGAGATTGTCCTCTGGCTGCCTGCTCAGCCCCAGAAACAGGACAGAGAGAGCCAGAGCCAACCAGTCAGCTGCCACGGAGGCTCTGGCCTGCTGGGTAAGGCTGTCCTCTAGGCCAGGGCAGTTGACAGTCACCATGATGAAGAGGATGACTGGAAGAGACCCTAAAGGGAGCAACAAAAGGTGGCACCCTGTTCCCAGAAGACCTCCACCAGAAACCACACAAGCAGAGGGTACAGGGTCACGCCTGTCATCCTAGCAGCTCCAAAGGCTGAGGCAGGAGGACTGCAGGTCCCAGGCCAGCCTGGGCAACTTATGGAGACCCATCTCAAGAGACCAGTGAGAAGGGCTGGGTGTGGCCGGCTGACAGACACCCTGGGCTCAATCTCAGGCCGTGGGG